AGGCTGTGATTGCTCCAGTTTTGCAGCAGAAAAGGCTGAAACCCCTGGGATATCTCCCCGTGTTCCCCCCGCAGAAGCCGCACGACCCTCAGACCATCGAGAAGATCCTGCAGTTCCTGGAGTGGGACGGGGACGGGGACATCGACTTCAACGAGTTCCTCCTCCTGGTGTTCAGGGTGGCCAAGTGCTGCTACCGGCACCTGCCCAGGGCTCCCTACCTGGTGCAGAGGACGAAGCTCACGACGCTCCGGGAGCCCGAGATCAGGAGCAGGGGGAGCCGCCGGCAGCTCCAGGAGGAGGAGGAGGAGGAGGAGGAGGAACAAACCCGCGAGAGGGACCGTCCGGGCGAGCCCGAGCTGCAGAGACACACCAGGGTCAGCGAGCTGGAGATGTCAGAGGAGACGAGGAGGGACACAAAGAGCAGGAACGACGCCGAGCTAAGCAGAGAGCCGGGGGAGCAGATCCCTCAGGAATACCAGGAACGGAGCCGGGAGCCGCGCGAGGGACGGAGGAGGCGGCAGCCACCGGAGCCGGACAGACAGACAGAGGGACAACTCCGGCGTGGCAGAGCCCAGGAACGTGAGCTGGGGGTGCTGGTGGGCGAGAGGGAAGAGCGGGAGGGCTCCCGGCGGGAAGAAGTGTCCGACGTGCGGATCCGCAGCCGGAGCTGGGAATCCCGACCGCGGCCCGAGCGGGGGAGTGGCCGCCGGCCACGGGAGCCAGAAGGACCAGCCTGTGATGAAAGAAACCAGAGGCCACGGGGAGCAGATGGAGGGAGCGACAACCAGCCACGCAGACCCGGATCGCTCAGGGAAGAGAGGAGCCGCCGCCGCCAGCAGGAGATGGAACAAAGGGCGCTGGAACGTGGGGAGTGCCCGGGCTCGAGGCTCCCACATCAGTCATACCTGCAGGAACCGCTAGAGCTCGACCTCAGGGGCTGTGACAGGGCTGAGCAGGAGGAACGTGTCCGTGAAAGGAGAACAAACCGGGAACGGGAGGTGGAATATGCAGAGAGGGAAAGAGAGATCCGTGAGGAACAGGAGTGGGAAGAACGAGATGATCCGAGGAGAAGAAGAAGAGTGAGGGAGAGGAGGGTTGACCTTCAAGGGGAGCTGGAGGTGGAGGTCTCTGAGTGCCACAGGGACAGGGAGGAGAGAGGGGTCACCATCGATCAGAGAGAGACACGGGAGCTGGAAGAGGATGGAAGGAGAGAACGTGAG